ACATTTAAGGTTTTCTTATTAGTAATGATCTGATTCAAACCTCACTACTCGATCACAACAAACATTGGACTTTGCGATATTACTCATATTATATCCCGTAGTATAGAAATAATCATGTTTAACAAATTCCTAATCTGAATTGAATTCAAAAAACATCATTTTTAGCGTCTTTTTACACCTAATATCGAAAATACATAGCTTATAGAAACAATAAACCACAGATGGTTCAGATTTAAGATATTTAACCTGGAGAAGCCTAGAAAATTATCGATTGATTGTCTGAACTTAAGTGGTTATTTTTGTTGTTCGAAGATCCATCGAAAAGAAAATATGTTCGCATCTACTCGGAAGATTTGGTTTAAAGTCATTCCCAACCACCTGATGAAGTTCCAAACTATTTTCTTGATATGCGGTGTTCAGACACCGGATTAATTTATATCTGATTTCTTCTCAGGGTTCTAAATGATCTTCACAGAATTTCAACATCTACTTTGGGACGTGAAAGGTGAAGTTATCCTTAAGGATCTCTTGCATATCGAGTTTGGGACCATGCACTTGTCCATAAAATTAAAGTGAATCAGCATGTCCATTACAATTTGATTTAATGGAGATACTATCTGTTACCCAAAGTGTTTATTAAAATTACATATATATATCGTATAAACAATAACTATTTCATATTCGATTACTTCTATTTACCCTTCCTTCTACTTAAATCAATTTGGCAAACATACACATGTCTTTGTGACGTATATATACATATATGTATGGAGGTAAATGTACCTTGTGACATACGCTTTGTTTGACAATTTGTGTGGATTTTGAACGGAACAATATAGTAAAATTGATTTGAAGTCTTAAAACTGAAAATGATCAAATCAATTGGATGTTCATTACAGGTTGATGTTAATTTAAAAAACAAAAAGTCACAAGTCAAATTAAGTAAAATAACAATAATAATAATTTCATTTGGACTGGTTCTTAGCTAAAACACCATTAAGATAAACGAGAATTATTTCTTTTCTATTTTATATTGTTGAAAGCAAATAACATGAAGCATCGAAACAATTGTATTTATGAAAAATTCTAATTCACATCATCCAGAATAATAAACGAAAAGAATAAACAAAAAAGATTATAATGTATTTGACAGTAAGAAACATGTGCAAACTGTGATTATTTAACATATAATGAATGATAAGATTGGTTGTAATTATAATAACAATACTTTCAATATATTTTTGATTCTACATAGTAGTAGAATCCAGGTAGTAAATTTTATCCTACTTGGATAATAACTATAAGTTTGAAATGAAGTTCTGTCGCAGTTGTTATTGTAGTTAGATGAAGGTTATTGATAAGAACGAGGAACATTAATAAAAGTTAAAAGTTGATAAAAAAAAAGAAGATATATTGTAACAGGGGCAAGAGTGTAACAATAGATTATTCATTACAGCAATTTAATCAGAAATATGTTGGAGTCCCATTTAATTAAAATACAGATAAATGAACTAAAAATGTCTCTTCTAATAATATGTTTTAAACAGGTTATACGAACACGAACTAGTATTATTGTTTAACATAATAATCAAATTTAACGTATGTACTATTTTTATATACAAATGATAAATATAAAATCACTAATATAAAACAAGTTTGTTGGTACTTAAAAGTATTGTACAGATATGAATGCAACGATAACTTAAATATGATCGTTGCTAGAATATGAATATAACTTTTACAATTGGAAGGTGTGGAGAATTATTTAAAATTTAACTGGACGTGTAGTTTATGCTACATATGTCGACATACATAAATAGTATGTAACACCAATCAGAAGAGGAGTGCGTGGCATTAGAAGGCTATGAAGGTCAACTTGGGGAAGAGAGAAACGGAAATAGTAAGGAATTGTAACTTAGAAGAATCATACAGAATATGAAGGATAAATGATGGAATTTTGAAAATGAAGTATTCAGTGTATAGTTCTCATATCTTACCAAGGGATCCTGTAGTTTTGTGTTTGAATATAATCGGTTGCCTCCACTTCTGTTCTCATTCATTAAAAATGCACTTATATTATCGATAACGCAATGTATAAAATTTTATAAGTCATGTAAAAAAACTAAAATTGAGATCCATGTTAAGCGAGTTGGTCATGTGTATCAATAAAAGGTGATTGAATTTGATTAAGGTGCACACGTATGTAAAACGCCAAATAGGTTATGAATATTGGGACTATTGTCGATAATTTTGCTCATTGTTGAACTACTTGTGTCTTAGTTTGGGGAAATTATATTAATTATTATAGTAGTTATAATCATCATATGTTCACTAGTGACGGTCTCTAAGAGGCATTTCCTGGAGTTCTAGTGAGAAGCCATGACCAGTGGAGTTCAACCGGGTTAGTTGTGAGATGGTAACTCACTAATGACAATGGTGGAAGATGGCGCAACTTCATGGATTAGTTGAAGTAAGACATTAACACATTTGGATACCGGCTCAATGGTCTAGTGGTTATGCGCTCGCGCGCGAGTCTGATAGATCCTGGATTCGAATCTCGAGAGACGGGATCGTGGATGCGCACTACTGATGAGCCCAATAGTAGGGCGAAACGGCCATCCAGTGCTTCCAGGTTTTCCATAGTGGTCTAGTTTCAAATGACTCATGAATTCAACTATTAAATTACTTGTATTTTATTGTCTATTTCTTTTCCTTTCTTCACCATTTATTTGTTTGGCCTTTGATTATATGCTAACTTCTAAACTTCAATACCAGGTAGACTTTAGTGACATTCGTTCTCAACAAATTTGTTACAAAACAGCCAACTTATTAAGTTGACACCCTACAAAAAGCCTACTTTTACGTATCATGTGTGACTCGATCAATTAATAACATTTGTTGGTTACTACAGTTTAATCTTATGGCATAGTAAGTTATGCTCATATGTAATGCTGTTGACTAATAAGATAGCCAAAACAACTCACTTCAATTCACTTAGATTTGTTTGTTGATAAGTATGAGTATAAACATATCTACTTCTACTGTAAAATAAATAGTTACCTGTTCCCTCTTCCTTTTTCCTTGTATTGAGCCCTACAAGCTTTTTTTCAGTTACAGGAAAGTTCGTTCGCACATTTTTTCTAGATCAATTCTTAAAATATTTGTTTGTTTTCTCGTAGTAGCGACATTTTTCTTGTCATAAGTATTACATGTATGGTGAAACAAATAGTTTACATTTATGATCGGTTGCAATATAATAATTGTGGAAATAACTTATATACATATACAGTTGTACATCAAAAAAGGCCCGAAAATTGGTTAATATTAAAATAATATTATTGGTTTAGAAACATTGTTTTAAAAACATGGTCATTAACAGATATGATTTTGAAGTTAACATTGAGTTTATATTTATACTTATACACAGTTTAACATCTTGAAGTCACACATTTATTTCTTACAGTTGACTATGAACTCTTATAATGAGATACCGTGGTGTTCCTGTGATTTTGAACTTTCGTGTAATGACTTGCATACAAAAATCTCGTCAAAAATGAAGTTTTGTAACAAGTTAGTGTATCTAAATATACTATTTCATATCTATATGCATTTAAATGGGATCTGTATTATGTTGAACATTTGTTGAAAAAACCCATATCTAGTCCATTAATTAACTAATAAACTGTAGGATCACTTTTTTTACATTAGATTATTTCAAGTTACAAAACCATTTACGTGCTTTGGAAGTTTATTGTACGAACTTTTTTTACTTTATTAATAACATGAAATACAACATTACGAACACACATATTAAAGTGTAACTGAATATAAAAGTAACAGTTCTAAACAAGTATTTAGTAAATAATTAAATAAGAATTATGTATAAATAAGTCACTGTTGAAAACAATTTGTATGTTCAGTAAAATCTAATTTCCATGATAAGTATGATATTGTAGAATAAATTAGTATGAAACAATATATCAATGATATAAAACTGTAAGTAATTAATGTAGTTATTGCAGTGAAAAGAAACTATGTAAACAATTTATAGGACATGGATTTGCAAGAAAAAATAAACAAGATTTCTAAAATGCGCACGATGGGGGTGTGAACTAAAATTAGAAATTATACATAAGTATGAGGAATATAATGATTATGGTTTCTACTTAATGCCTATTGATTATTTATTCATTTTTATCAGGTTAAAGTAAACATATTAATTTCAATAATGTAAATTTCAATAGGTAATTAATTAAGTGATAACATTTTTTCTTAAATATTTCAGCGTTTGATTTGAAAGAGTTTCCTCTATAGAATGAACAAAGTTTGTTTTATAGATAAATGCATTACAAACTTGACATTTTACATGTACGTATGCTAATATTTCACTGCTTTCCTGAATGACGTCGTTTAATAAACATTAACAAACCCTTTATATTGACATGGCATAATCTTCAGAAGTTATTATAGTATAGAGATTTCAATGAGCGAACATCAACATGTTTTAGCTACAAGATGACAAATAACAGAAAACTGTTAGTGTAAAATGTTTCGGAAACCCGGATGCCTTAATACATTAATAATCATAAATCAGATTAAATATATCAATAAAATTAAAGGTATATAAATTTTGAAAGCAATCACGCTACAGCAATTTGTTTTGAACCCTAATAATTAAAGTCTCTAATTACTAATGATGGTAACATGGAACCTAACTACTTTTCAACACGATTCATTTCGGTAGTAAGTGACTTCGTGGACTAATCCCATCTATTTAATTAGTTACCCCTAGCTTTTTTCCACACTAAACAAATGAAAACCATCGTTTTACATAACAAAAAATGTGTGTTAGTCATTCGTGACACATCCCAACCATCTCATGTGATGAAAGTTTACAGCTACTATGTTAAAAGTATAACTATAAAATTTATAAAAAAACAATTTCACTCAAAACATTCACATATGACTACGTAAGTATACATACATAAAACATAACTCACCAGCTTTAAGTAAAGCTTCTAAAACATCTGTATGTCCCATATAAGCTGCAGCAATCAAAGCAGTACGTTTTTCAGAATCTGACTTATTAACATCAGCACCGGCATCGAGTAAACATTTGACAGTTTCCAAATTTCCAGCCCATGCAGCAGCGCGTAGTGCAGTTCTTCCATCTGGTCCAGATAAATTTACATCAGCTCCATAATATATTAACAACTTCACAATATCTGTACATATAAAAAAGGTTATATCATTTAAAGGAACTACTTTAAAAAGCTTTCGGAAAAGAATTATAATTTCTTTTCTTTGTTAACTCTCAAATAAAAGTAAAGAATAAAATTAAGCATAATTGTGTTGGAAAAATAAATCTCATCTAGACATTCTTCCTCTCTAATATCTCATATTAACTCGGCGCCTAAATACTGTGAAACTATTCGATCAACTTTAGACGAAAGTTCTTATGAAAATTTCATCCAGCTTACGCAACGTTTAAAAATTCTGATTTTTTGTTCCAAAATGTTCATATTAGAGATACCGGTGAAACCTTACGAGTCAGATGATAAAATGCATCAATTATTTTAAGGGCATATATATGATCATTTGAATTCCTGTGATCTACTTTTTTTAAATATATTCGTGCATATTCTCATCATAGCTGATTTTATCATAAGGGCAGAAATTATAAATAATATATATCACACCATTGCCTTGATCTCTGACGACAAGCGATTTATTTGGATTTATTTATAGACATACTTGGTACATGCTACTTATGCTGACAGATATAAATAGTATGTATGACCATTAGAAACAAAATCACTGAAAATTGTTGAACGAACAATTAAATTACACCTAAGCATATATAATACATTGAATCGATAACCTCTGCACCTAAGTGTAATAATGAAATTATTAACTCATAAAGTAATAAACGGCTGATTTCCTAGAATTGATAATATACCCAGGTGACCAAGAAGAAAATTTCAAGTGAATAAACTTCAAGAAATCAACATACGGGTTTCTGACATTACTTGACTTCTGTATTATTAACAACTTTTCAAGAGTGTTAATGGGTCGATAAGAATCAGACAAATAAAACAAATAAAAAATTGGAAAGACTTTTACTAAGTGACAAAATATTACCGAGTTTGAGCAGGATTATGAAAATTTCCTCTTATCATTAAAATTAATAGCATAAGTTACAGTTACAGCACAGTCAATCATCTAAATATTTCACCATGTGATAAACAAATTATTTATCAATTGCTTTAAATCAAAATTTCCTAAAAACGAACTAAAATACGATCATAAACTTCACGCCACAATACCAGTAGTGTATAGTTTTCGACAGCATTTCACAAACTACTTCTCATGTACTTGATAACTTAGGTACCAAAACGTTTGATTATGTTATTTGAATACATTAAGCTCCAGAGAAAAAAAATCAATCATTTAAACTTTCATTTGATAAATATATATATAGATATATAGATAAATTCACAACTAGGTGGTTGGAATATTTCTTCATTGTCCACAACTAGAAAATATCAACACGCTGTTCACTTCTAAATTTACAAAGTTTTCGACTGGTAACAGCGCATCAAAAAATGTTCAATCATTGTTCTCTACGGTAAATATAGACAAAAAAATTCAAAGTCGTTTAGAGATGTTCTCATTTCCAAAAAAAGTGTTATTCATCTCTGACTTCTCAGGTGAAATGAAGTCATAATGTCTGTTTCATCTGATCACCAATAAGCTGTTGCATACTGCTAAGTAATACTTTCAATTTATTACTATTCTCTTCAATTTATCGCAAGTAATATCATAACCACGAAATAAACTGCTATTACCATTTTAATAAAGTGCATAAAGCAGCTTTTTCTGAAGTTCAAGGATAAGTTTTTATTTTGAACTAACATAGACTGAAGAAAATCAAAAAAGCATTACGGACCCCAGACAAGAGTTTTGTTTCCGGAGGACGGCACTGTTTATAAATTTTGAGTTCGAGACAACTAGCTAATAAATATGTCCTGATGTTTCACAGAAATACCAGTCAGTATTTAAATATTTTTGATTGTCAGTAAAATTGACTGATACCTAGAGAAAAGCTGGTAAGTGAGTAATACAACTAGAAAGCATAATAATGAAAGAGATAAGATATGAAATTTTCTCAATTTGAATCACATCTATCCTATCGTCGTGAACAAAACCTCAGGTACGGCAAAGCATTTTTTAATACAAAATAAACTCAATAGCTTCTTAAAACATGAAAAATAATTCATTTAATACATCATTTGCATATCATTCCTTTAGTTGCACTGTACACACCCTATCATTCTTACAAACCTGTTGTTCGTCCGATCACTCTTTGTTTCCATCCCTCTTCTATTTGTTTCAGTCTTCGACCGATAAGCCTTCCGCTTACAGCTCCTGCTACATACAACTCATACCTATCCGCATAAGTAGTATGAAGGCTAAATCATATTATAATAGGGGCACTGTGTGTACCACCAAGCATTATTTCCAATATATTTTCACTAGACCGTAAACACAAAATAAAAATTTCAGATTTATTATGACTTATTTTCGAATACAAACACATTCTGTTCAACGAATTTTTTATGTCCTACCGTCATGATACGTTTTGAAATTATATGGTTTTTTTCTAACATTAAAGAATTTTATTACTATCCACACTAAAACAAGTTCATCTGTTTTCGGGTAAATGAAAAAAACACATCTATTCTTTTTAGCAATGAACTGTGGTTTAACAAAAACAGGACTGATGCATGGAATTAAATAATTATATACAAGAGATATGCAGTAAACTAAGAATTAATTTATTCATTAATTAGGGCTTAAAATATCAACCAGTACTTATTTGAACAATTTAGTGACCTATAACAAAATGAATAATTACATGTAGTTTCATATGTTTAATAAATCAGTTATTGTGTCAAACAGTTTTAGTTATAGACATGTTTAGATTTCTCCCTTTAGCATGATTCCCCATAGGCATGTTTAACAAATGGTTCAGGATATAAAATATTTTATTATCGATTTGTGTGTTCGTTTAAAATAATAAAAAGTTAAATAGATTACTGCTTAGATCATTAATAATGATAACAATGATCATTTTATTCAATATTTCACGGATGTGTCAGAAGTTTGTGATGCTAAGTGGATGAAGGTAGTCGACTGGATATTTTGAACCTAGGTTTGTTGTATTTCGGCGCTCGTCAACAAGATATACGGATATACTCATAAACATGATGGATTCGATCCGATGTCACCCGACTTTATGGTCTGTAACACTCTGGAAGTGAATGATCTCCTATGTGACTGATGTTTACAATCGAATGGTTACTGAATAGAAAATAATGTCATGTTTATCTAGCCCTTTTAGTGTTGATCGAGCTCTATTGGTCAAGTCACATAAACCCTGTGTCCAGGATTTCCATTTGAAAGCCTCAGACTACCTAACATCTTGATTTAGTGAATGTCATTTCGCGTCACTTAGAACAATACTGATTAGCACTAAAGTGACCAGACAAACACGACAATAGCCACTACTTATTGATTAACCAATTGTAATAGTCTGTGAAATAATTTTTAAAAATGTTTACAAATAGAAAAATTGTCAATAATGCAAGCTTATTATTCGTTATATAAGCTTAAATGAAGGATAGTAGAAGTTAGATTAATGTCAATACACAGCGTGCATTCACAAACATCATATCCACAGAAAAAGTACAGAATGGGTGAATAGATCACAAAAAGTAAAACTTTCACTGTTTCCAAAAAATTAGTAGTGAATTACAAAAACAAAGTAAAGTTATAAACCTGGATATTATTAATTATTGTATTATTTTTGCTAAATCAGCATTATTGAAATTTCATTCCGATTAGCAAATAATATATAAGAACTATTTAGCATAGTAAGGAGTAAACATAATAACAAAAAATGACAATATAAAAAGTACCAGTAAAGTTGCAAGTGTTCGTGTACTGGATAATTCAGTAATTTCATACTAAAGATTTTGATTATATAATTAATAATACATTATCTTGATTTCATTAGATAGAATCAAATAATCAACAAACGACTGAATAACCAATATTGGCTTGATAAACAATATGAATAACCATAATTAAATGATTAAAGCGAAAATTGATAAAGTCTTTAATTAAAAATGCATTAAATTTGAGATTTTTCAATTCATTCCTGCACCGTGGTTAAATTAACCTACTTTTTACTAAGTGAAGAACAGACTATCCCAGGGATGGTCTGTTCTTTCTTAATGAATTACAGATGATTTACATTTTTATCTGATATTCATCAGTTAAGCAAACAAGTTCAAAACGACCTAAATAATCATTATTATTGAAACTAATATGTTTTATCAATTATGCAACTAGTTTTATAAAGACTGGGTATTACTTAAATTCGTTTCTCACATGAGCTGATTTCAACTCAAAAGCCATTATAAATAGGGTCTCACCAAACAATCTGCTCTGTTATGTATGGCTACTAACCAGCAGTTTATAATCACACGTTGTCAAACCTAAAACTATAAGATTTCAAGCTGACCATAGTATTAACGCAGTAATAAATTGAAATTTATTGATTTAAATCTTGCTACCTCACGATATAGCAGTTGTCAAACGTGCTCTGCTTTTTTGTTTCTCACCTAATATAAAGTGTTGCTTCCATTATTTGTGATGAAAATATCAATTTCAATGACACCCTTGGTAAGTTCAATAGTTGCCATCAAATAGTAGTTCACGATGGAATCTAAGTTACGATTTCCAACTCTAAAATGCTTAGTTGTCAGAAAACCTGATAGATCTTCACAAAGACCAATATATGTAGAGTCAACCTGGAAATGCCAAACCACGAATTTCCAAGGTTAGATCCCAGTGAAGTAAAAGAGAAACCTGATCCCTTTTCTCTGTACTAGGACTAGACAAAAATGTCCCAATGAAACAATCGACATTGATATCCACCTAGATTATTTACAAACAATTTGAAGCCTAAACAGCAACGCAAAAGAGTCCCTATAGCATCAAAGAAGACTTTAATAAAAATTCAATATAAAAGAGATACTGTGGTAGAAATCCTAAAAATAGGCTTTTGAGATTTCTGTGAGAAACATTCTATTTGGCTTAATTTTGTTTTGTCGTCTGTAGTTGACCCATGGTTTGTACTTATGTGAAAGATGAATTCCCGCCTTCGGCCAAATCAGTATTAGCCTATCAGCTTAATTGCTCATATAGAGAGGATTATAATGGCCGCACAAAACGAGCGCTTTCAAAGCGCTTCTCCAAGTATTACCCTAACTAGTCATCTGAAAAACTAAAAAAGTTAGTCAAAATCTCAATTCTGTCAAATCGAGTTAATTCTGGTAACTCTGCCACCAGAATCTTTCCTCAAAAATCATTTATACAGTCACAATAATCCGTTCCGAAGGAATACAAATAAAAAACTTACGCGCTGCAGAGACTATAGCCATTCACCAAGTCAATTCCAACCTTTGTGTACAGATAAAGTATATCCGATCCCTCCTACTACCATGTTCTTAACCTTCCATTCTATCTTATATAACTCATTTTCATTATCTATTTTCTATTTTTCTATTTTGTAACTATTAATTAGACCTCATTAATTATTCCGTTCTTAATATCATTCAAATGAACAACTATCTTCACTCCAACATTTCATTATTTTTTGGGTTATCACACAACTTTCTATCGATATCTAATTTTTATAACCAGTTTACAACATGATACCACATCAATAATTGACTATTCAACATCATTTTATTTTACTACAGACTACTAAGTTTAGTAAATAAGTTAAATATGAATAAGATTGTACAGTTTAAGTAAATAGAATCGTCTAGAAGAAATTTTTCTCCACTGAATTGTTTTAATTGTTCTTCAGTGATATCAGATTGTTTGATTTATTTCAGTACAGACTTGTAAAACATGATATACAATCGCAATTCTGTTTATATAAGTTTCTTTAATTAGGTCCATTGTAAAGTACACATTTAACATATACTTTTTTTATTGAAACTTTGCAGTTACAACATCTTAATTCATTATCATCAAAAGGATGATTATATGAGTATTTATAACACAGAATGGTAAATTTAGCAACGACAACAGTAATAATTTTTAAAAAGATGTCTTCATTCATTAGTAAAGCACAGATTTATTTAATGCGATAATTCATCTAAACAATTTACAACGATTTACGGAGTATACAAAATAAATATATTCATTTAACAGTTTAATTCATAAAGATATTCAAAAAAAATTGGTAAAGTATCCAAGGCCCAGTGTGCTTAAAATTTCAGATATTTAAAAATTATGTATAAGGCATCTAAGTTCAATTCATGGATGCATTACATACTGACTGATAGTTGTATTCACTAAACATCTCAAGTTCAAATGATAATGATAGGAATACTAAAATGATAACAGTTGCATGAATAAAGTGACTTGTTCAAATAGTCAAAATTAACGGTTATTCCTATGCATAACTCGAATTCGATATTATTTCCGAAATTTCTTGAACGGAGTATATTTTAAAATAAGACAACAGCTTCGAAAATTTGATTTAAATAATGACCTCAACGAAAAAAGAGGCTCGTAAACAATAAATTAAACCTCATACATTTCTTCATTTTGTTGGTACTCTGAAACGTAGTGTTTTTTTTTCAGGATAAACAGTCAAAGGATCGTTATTCACACAATGGTTGGGTTGTATATAAAAAGGAACACATGTATTAGTTGAGTTGAGAGTCGCACATAATTCAGCGGTCTCAAAACAGCCCGTTACACTTAAGTATTTCACGGTTCCTCAGCTATTGTCAATCCAAAATCAAAAACTATCTTGATATAGAAATACCCTTCATAAATCATACCAACGAGACACTATTTTCTCTTTCTGAACTCATTACACATGACATAATTTAAATGAGCGAATAAAGCTATCTTTCCTTACTAATAAATACTGATGTGCAGTGATTTTTATTTGATTGCTTACAATCAAAAAATGACTATAAACACATAATTTATTACATCATAACTACTGCTAAATTATTTTGAATCCTGTTTAGAACATGTTAGTGCATATTTATGAATACTAATGCATCTACAGAGATAAACAAACACACGAATGTGCGTGGGTTCAAACGGTCCAAAAGTTCTTACTATATCATACTTTAAAATAAAGAATTGGCATTTAACAATTTAAAAAAACTGTATCCCTATCTTCTTCTTACTTCATCTTGATAAACACACAGGTTTCCTGGTCCAAAAGTGTATTTTAGAAAAATAAGTAACAACGAAAGTAACAAGCCCTTCACATATTGGTGATTCTAAACAGGCAAATCTTTATATTGGTCGATATTTCTATCAACATTTTACACACATGTGATGTGCATTTATATATATATCATAAAGCGAGAGAGAATATTTATTATACCTGGTGTAAATCAACAAAATACTACTTAAGTAATCCCATTGGAAAACTACAGATGACATAAATTTCAATCCAATCTACCATTTCTCCTGTTGTCCGCTCTTATCACACTAGCCTTACTACTTACTGACTTGGGATAAACTTATTCATCTCTAAAGACGTAAATAAAAAGATAATAGCCATATTTGATCTTATATTTCTATATATATATATATATATATATATATATATATATATATATATATATGGAGAGAGAGAGGGAGGGAGGGAGGGAGAGAGAGAAGTAATCAACGTTGGAGAAAACTTTAAACTACTTTTATTACTTACAACGTTATTTCAACAATAATTTCAAATTAAATCAACTTAATTTCATGAATTATTTTGGAAACACAAATACTTTATTTTTTATCAACTAGCAAATAATACTTAATCATTATACATAACAAAATTATGATTACGGTTGGTCTTTTATACAATCATTTGATTTGAAATATAGTTACAGTGTTGGTAAAATTTATTTATTTATTCTATTTTTCAAAATTAGCTGTTTCCTCTTTCACTGAGTGGAGAGTGAATAAATATTTTGCTCAAAGTACCAGAGACAATAGTATGACTTCACTCACTGACCTATTACATATAAACTTGGAGTAAATAAAACAAATGAAATTCTACGAATCACTTACCGAATCTAAGACTGTAATATTATGTAAGAACGCAATAAGAAGTTGATAAATCTTTCAGTTAACTTCTGCGTTTTGAATTTTTTTAGCAATACACATGTTTCTCACTTGTTTTAATTCGTTATGCTGGGACTTCAAATGTAAATACTACAGTTTCAATAAATCATTATGATATCAGTTGAATTCACAATTTGATCTTAGCTAGATCATCAATGAGAACCTAGAAGCACTGAACGACCGTTCGCTCAACATGCTTCTTAAGCTCATAGGAAAATCTTGCTTCAATGTATTTTGTTTGGTCACAGTGTTCTTTTTGCTATGTTCGTCAGAGAATAACGTCATATTGACTTTGTTTTAAGTTAAAAACTTTTGCTGTATTAATTTCAAATTTATCTGGTGCAAAATTATATCATTAAAAATAAATATAACTTGAATGGAGTAGGTAATTAGTGTTTATCAATAGCGTAATCATCGTTCGAAAAAAAATTTCTACCTTGAAAAATTAATCCACTTAATTCAAAATATTTAAGATTCCCTTTCAATTTGATACTAACTAAAAGTTTCAACAAATGTAAATGTTGAGATCACGAGTCAGTTGGAGCTAGACCACCATGGAAAACATAGAAGCACTGAAAATATAAATGTCTTTATAATTTCCACTGGGAATAGCAGGAATTTACAAATATAGAAAGAGTGAATAATAAAGATCATCGCTTATTTTATTGTAGAACACCAATATATCAAATGGTTTAACTAATATTAGTAGTAACGATTATATAAATGTTATGTTATACAAATGATCCGAATGAATAACGACCAGAACTGTTATTTCATTTCCATTTACGGATAAATTAAACGTACAGACATTCATGCAAAATGAATTAATTAACTAATACACACTAACACATCTGTTCAAAGAATAATAAATGACATGACTTGAATATGCATATCGAATAAAATGGACATAGAACAACTAGAAACTACTGTTTCTAGAAACTAATGGAGTAAGTTTTTAAAAATTAAGGTAGTAGATGCCTTGTAACAAACAATCAACTAGGATTATTATACATTTAAATATTTAGAATTTAAGAAAGTGTATAATTTATAACAGTTAGTCCCTTTTATAAATTTGGATAGTGTATTAAGTAGATCACGAGCACTATGTGGTACATTAGTACAATACAATTTGAAAAATCTGATCACAGATATGCCAGTTAACAATATTTATATGTAAAAAATAAAGGGTCAACTAGGCAAACAGAAGATAAGAAGAAAGGAGGATAATAGAGAAAATAATAGGAAACCCACCACGTTAGATAATATAACATTATATTCAGGGTTGGTTCAGAATGAGTAAAAACTGTTTTTGTATATACAAGGAGGCCTTGAATTTTCGTATGACCATGGCTCCAGTTGACTTCAATATACGCATTAGCCAAATTTGTATCAAACCACAAGAGCTAAGTTAAAACCATTCCTATATTCGTTGCTTTTATAATTAATATTAGTCCAAAAATCAAGCCATTTAAACTAAAATAGTTGAAGATTATTATTTTAATGTATATCTCCAAATCAAAGTTTTTGCATCACTAAGCTATTTCAATATGAAGACTCTGACTAAAAATGGACATTAACCTTGTATTTGTCTGTAAGTACAAAAATTAACTTGCCTGAATATCCTCCCCATGCTGCCGTTCTTAAAGCTGACCAACCATCTTGATCTATTGTATTCGGATTAACTTCTGACTCAAGTAATGACCTAACACTTTCATACTGGCCTAATCTAATCGTTGATATTAATTCATTACAAATCGTTGATGGTTTATCACTTGGAACCTTTTTATATTCCATTGATACAGTTAAATTATACAGTTCATCATCAGCTTGTTGTTGCTTTTGGGAATAAACTGAATAATCATATCTCGTCGTCTCACTGTCATGATTATTATTACCAACAGTAATCAAGTGATTCTGATGTTTGCCATCTATGAGTGGATGACAATCAGATGACACTGTTGCACAATCTAGTATATTCGTCATGTAATTCAAATTTAAATTTGACTTATCAACTGATTTACTTCTTTTCATCAGAAAATTTGTTTTACAAGCGTCAAAATTGCTACTGTTATTACTATTGTCATTATTATTTGATTTACATGCAAGTAGATATTCTTCTAAAGACATTAACTGATTCTTAGCAGTTTCATTATTATTAATAAATGAGTCAAAAAACGACGCATCAAATTGAATATTGTCATCTATAAAATTAAATTTATTGATACTCATTGCTTTTTCAATCAATATTTGACCATCCATCATATTGCATAAATAGTTGGAAGTACAATGTTTCACATCAATTAACCATTCAGCAAATACTTCATGAAAAAACTGTACAACTGCTGAATTTTGGAAAATTAAAGTATCATTTTCTTTATCTGTTATATGTTTAGGTGATAATCCACAACACAGGGATAATATTGGTTTCAGTTGTTCAATTTGATGGTAATAAATAAATTTTTTTAAATTAGGATTTGAAACAATTAATATGGAGTACAGTGAATTAATAGATAATGGTTCACAAGATGCTAAAATAATATTTAATAACGGTTTAATTGTTGTAAACGATGATTTATTTTGACATTCATTCATATTTACAGGAAATATACTTTGACATATCCAAAGAAATAAACCATTTAGGGTACCTGGAATGGAAGCTATATCCTGAAGAGTAATTTTTTCATCTCGAATCCAATCTAGTACAGTTTCCAGATAAAGCATACATGCACTACTTTTAATTCGAAGTAAATGCATAATATCTGCTCTCACTTCATTTGGGCATAGAATAGATTCATCAATAAATCTGTTCATCATATAATTTTGTACATCTTGAGCAATCATTGGTTTACGTAGATCATCTATGGCAATCGTTTTAATTCCAGGAAACATATGTTTAACAATTGATCGATATTTACGTCTACATGTAATTATTAAAATCAACCAATCAGGTAAAAGATGAGCATGATTTGCAAGTATCTCTAAAATACTTCCATCTGGTACTCGATTAGCATCATGTTCATTAGAACTGTTGGTAAATAATGCTTTATCACTTGTAACCTTAAATTTAGCTAAAGATGTATAAATTTCATCTAGTCCGTCAACTAAGATAAAGAAACGTGGACTGTTATAACCAGATACAGTTGATGACTGGTTAGTATCTGAGCAGTTAGGTAGATGTGAAATGTTTATATTCCTTAATGGCCGAATGATCTCATAATAAAATGCGTCACTAGCTGAAGTTTTGTCGATTAGTTTGCCGCCACCAATGTTGTTATTGAGTGAATTTTTAAAAGCCTTAACGATGGGATTTTTGTCTGATAATAATTGATTTCGTAATGAGTTTATGAAAAGTTCAGGTTGCAGCGATTTCTTACTTCGAGCATCACAAAGATGAAAAGCCAACATTCGTGCAGCCACATGTTCACATGTATTAAACGTTTGATTTAAACCATTAATAATTCTAGTATCATTCATTTTTGATTGTTTAAATACATTTGCTTTAGTTTGAATAATTTTTCGACATATACTAGTCTTTCCAGATCCAGATTCACCACAAATAACCAGTTTACAAGCGAAATCTTTACAACTTTCATTGTTTGTACAAGTATATTCTCGATTGTTTTCTTCAGATATCAATTCTTGGTTATTAGTTAAATATTTCATTAATTTTTCCCATAGCCACTCACGACAATAAAATTTTCGATTTGGGTTATATAATGCTGTTAAACGATTAATAGTCTCATCATAATTATTATCAAGACAAGACGGATATTGATCTCTAATACTATCTACATTATATGAAGTTATCAGATGAGAATCTGAATCAATACTGAAACTATCAGCCTGGTTGATTTTAGACTTGAAGCTCGACGTATTACTTTTGTGTACATTTCTGTGTTCATAACTGTTTTCACTACTTTTACCACTGTAACCAATACTGCGAATACTATTATTTACTTTAATATCATCAGTAGTAGCAGCAGTAACCAAATAGACATGAGATAGATTTTCATGTTGTGAATGTGATATATTTGTTAGGCTTTTTGAACGATATTTATGGATAAAATTGAAGTACTGAAAATCTGAAGATAACGATAATGAATTTACTATAGGTATATTCCCAGTATTGCTGAGCATCTCATTCATACAGACATGTCATTTTTATTGTGAATTCAAATATAGATATACTTTTGTGGCCCTTCTCATTTAACGTTTATTCTTTTTTTATTTCTGTTGTAAATATGAAAATAAACTCCAAGGTAAATACTAATCTTCGGTACGTAATCCTTGTACATCCTGTGAAATCAACTTGTAGAAATAAAAATCATTATTATTTTGTAAATTACTAAGCCTGTTAAAGACATTTATTACGCATTAAATAAATTTCATGGTGACGGAATGTGCAAGATCTGTCAAAAAATGTAAAATATAAAAAATGACTAAGAATACCATCGATATAACTGTTATAATAACATGATTTATGAGTAATTTACGTTTGCATTATTAATTATCGGTTTGATAACAAAATTGGACCAATCTCCAAACACAATTGATGTATATAAATATGCATTCACGGACATTCTTACACAGAATACTACTCTGAACCAAATTTTCCTGAATAGATGTGAAGTGTAATTTAGATTTCAGAGCAATTATATATTTTTCACGACAACCTAATACATTTTCAATAAAGACTTACCTATCAACAGATAATATTTAACCAATAGACAGAAATAATTCACACAGAATGTACATATGGTAAAAAGAGACTGATCAACTGCAGTTTTAAACACTAATGGGAGAATTCACAAAACCAATAAAACATTTATGATAAAATATGTGCAATTTTTTCATATCATTCATCCTTAACGTCTACAAAGTACGACCGCTTGATAAAAAATGGCAAACTTCTGAGCAGAATAGTCCTTACATGTATATTTACTTCGACTTGAGGTCTAGTTCTTGAATGACAACGCTAAAAAATGGCTTAACATGAAAAACGAGTTTTTGCCAAAATTATTACGCTAAAATAAAAACGAGCAAATATAATTACGTAATCGCATGGAAGCATCAACGACTTCTCAAACATTACTGATATAACTGCGTTTTTTTATTTTTACACGGCGTAAAGCAACTGAAGTAAAAAAGGTCTACGAAATTTATATAACGGAAATCACGAAGCTACATAAACATGACTACGAAAACAATTTGCAACACTTGATAACCAAAAAAATGATCGTCTCTTCGATGATCTTAGCCGAATAATTATGCATATGTGGCAAAATTTTTTCAAAAAGAGAATTTAAGAAAATTGAATCGCTTATGAAGACCCAATTAGCTTGCTTTACCATGAACAAGATATTCTCTTACCTTGTAGGAAAATCTCTGTACTTGGGTCAACATTTCACATTATATTATAAAATCATCATGGTTACGACACGTAAGACAACCTTAACTAGTTGAATTACATCACAGTCAAACGTTTTCACTAAATTATAAACTCATTTTTATAAACAACACTGTCTATCGCCTAAAACATTTACTCGATCACGATTTAAAAGAAACAACTCCTCGAATGATTCCAGCCTGTGGAAAAATGAAAGCCAAACATTTCAATTTCAATTTTTTGAGGGACATGTTTTATATGAGGGCATCGATATAAACTTTAAATTTTTGAGTAAATTTTCATAACGAGGCCCAAAAATATTTTGGGCAATATAGGTAACATGGTAAAACCAAAAGGTGGTTTCCCGAACGCAGTCACAATTTAATTTTTCTGTTTTCATCATAGATAAACCTTTGAAAACTTTATTGCAGTTCAAACAAACACTTACTGGTAAACTTTTTAAAATGAGCGCAGTCTTTTGAAGTAGATGTAACAGAGTAAACGTTATAAAAAATGGAATGTTAAAAGCAGTTCTTTTATCTTATACTTTACTGATAAAATAGTGAAAGAAAGCCAATTTCTTTAAAATTAGTGTTTGAAGTTAGTTTCAGATCGTATCATGTGACTTTGATAGTTTGTCATTTTGTAAAATAGGAAGATGGCTGCAATTGTTTATTTGAATGTCACGAAAGTATCAAGTCGTACTTTGAAATTTTTGACGTAGATTTATGATTTGTACGATTTAACTAGTTCATAGTATAGACAATTATGATTTTTTGAGATATAATAAGTTCATAGAGATATTGTGAGTAACAATTCCACTGAAAGACTTCCATGGCTTACTGAAACGTGTTCTCGAACAGATGCTTTACCGAAAGCACTCAGTTCTTGCAGCTTACGGCAAACCACAAGTGGTCAGTCTCGATGTTGATTATTTGCATGATAATTATTCCGAGGAATTATTTCTTACTCATTGCTCCACAGTGATTTTAAGAATACCTAGATGCACGACCAAAACAGAAGTTTAAGCAAAACAGGTCTGCTGTTGATGAATAATAACGAATGATTTTCTGTGACGGATTTTGAGCGATGTGATCAACAACAACCAGCTACAGATACATATAACTGGATTCATGCCTTTCCCCATTTCAATACTACCTGGCTGCTTCGAAAATAAGGGAAAATATTGTATTGCTGTAAACAATGCACTTAATCCTTCAGTCGCTCTAAGAACTTACGTTACCATTTACTATTTACAAATTAATTGTAGGCACCAAAAAAGTTGACTCACGAACCCAAAGTACCTCTATGAAATCTGGGAAAAATCCAGTTACGACGTTCATAATACTGACATTAGTTCACGGTTTACATATGTAGGGCCAGTGAAATAGCACTGAGCCCTGGCCAAAACGTCTGGCAGTTGAGTAACTGAGCATCGAACAATTCATCGTTCCCTGTCAAGGTCAAGGACAACCAACGCGCATCAGTTGATCTTACGCCATGGACTGACTCATGCGGCGGTGATCACATTTTCGCTTGTACTTACCTTAAATAATGTATTTCTATAATAACGTCCTTAGTGTTGTACAGTCTTCAAAGCATCCATAGGACCTTGATTCGACGAAGAGCTAATACACGCGAGGTGATGACGGCGTGGTGTGACTTCCACGTCTAGCTCGAGTAGACCCCCGATTATCTGACAGAAACCATCAACGTTGATGACCCACATACACAATCATTGGAAATACAATTCAAACATCGCTCATCCATATGCATTGAATCTCTACTCATTATTTGGTCAGTAGTTGTGGTTACCGTTTTTAAAACAAACATCTGTCATTATACCTTTGAAGAATGTAACTAATAAACATAAAGCCTACAGTGTTATATACAGCTTCTGTTTGTGCTCACAGTGTTGAAGAAAGGTTATCAGCTTCAATTATTACTTTCATAATTTCTTTCATTCTCAAATAATTAATATTCCAGTCCTACCGAAAAATGATTATACTTAGAACTGTTCATGGTCGCATACTAGGTTTGATGTGACGATAACGCTTTGTTCGGAAGTGAATATGAAGTTAGCATTTTCGATGCAGTAACCAGTGTATATTCATCACATTTTTTAGTTCACATTGGATTATTATAACTCATTTACTTACCCTTTTCAACTTTTTTGTATTATTTTTATTATTTTTTTGGTATCATAGGGTCTTGATTAGGCTTCGTATATAATCGAATTATCTGGTTTGCTTGTAATGGGACCACTGGGTAGGAAGTGAAACCAATTCAACGTTCGTAACACGATTTATTGAGGTATTTTGCATGATAAATCAGCATTAATAACTTACGTTCGTAACATCCCACCAAATCATAAGGAGCCGTAATTAAACAAAATGTTCTGCCCTACAGAATGTTTATAACTCTGATAATTAATGTCTGATTGACTGATCTGGCTATCCCTATGGGCCAGAAGTCATGTTTTTCTCGTTAGGAACAACTGTCAAGTTTGGTTTTATGTATATTATAATCGCTGATATTGAGGTAGGGGTACTGAGTACAACCCATTCAAAATGTAACTAGCTAGTTAATCGATCGCAGAATTTTATTTCAACAATAAAACTAGTTGCTGACAACCGATAATCATGCTTAATTCAGTTGCAGCCCATAAACGAATATGCCACGACGTCCGAGAGACATAGAGATATTCAATGGGGTAACTGGTTTAGTTTGACTGCCTCCTGTATCGCTTCTTTATCACACCAAGGTGAGTGTGTAAACGCCAAGGACAATCCGTCCAAACACGGGCATTCCACCTTATGGTAAGTGCCAGTATTTTCAATATGCATCTTAATTTACGCCATTGTCGCTAGACGTTTTGGTCGCTTATTCTTAGAGTAGATTGCATTCATGTATACTCTACCAATCGAGATAAACTCATTATTTCATAGGATAACCTGTCTATCTTACAATTTGACTATACCGATAGTTTGAGATACAGGATTTCGTTCCCTTCTACGCGGGAGATGTTTCAGATTTTTTAACTGCACTATGTTAATTGAGTACATATGAAACTCCGCCTGCAGCCCTTCTCAGGCTACTGCCGGTCCCAAGCCCGGATGAAGAAGGAGGGTTGGCATGGTATTAGCAACCCCATCCCGCAGAAAACTAACTCGCTAAAAAAACGCTAACCAGAAAAAATTATTCAAACCTTTTAAACTCTGCCCTGGGAGTCAGAAGGTCTTCATTTAGAAGGATTATGACGCCTCATGATGAAAGCCGAATTCCTTCGGAAGTTACGAGACCGATGCCCCTTCTGACAACCAGAGCAACCATTTATTTAGGTACACGGAATGTTCGCACAATGTGGGACAACGGAAAAGTCTTCCAAATTGCTTCAGAAATGAGGAGATACAACCTAGATGTGCTTGGGATCAGTGAAGCACATTGGACACAAGTTGGACAACAACAACTATCTTCAGGAGAGCTTCTGTTATACTCTGGCCATGAAGAAGTATATGCTCCACACACACAAGGAGTTGCATTTATGCTGTCTAAACAAGCACAAAATGCACTAATAGGATGGGAATCTCATGAACCAAGGATCATTAAAGCCTCCTTCGAAACAAAGAAAGAGGGCATTTCAATGAACATCATCCAATGCTATGCGCCTACCAACGACTACAATGAAGACGCTAAAGATCAATTCTACAATAGACTGCAGTCAATCGTCGAGAAGTGCCCAACAAAGGACTTGACCATTCTGATGGGAGATTTCAATGACAAGGTTGGAACGGACAACAATGGAGATGGAGACATCATGGGACGACACGGACTGGGAGAAAGAAACGAAAATGGTGAGTGATTTGCAAACCTATGTGCCTTCAATAAACTGGTCATAGGCGGCACCATATTTCCACATAAACGCATTCACAAAACCACATGGACTTCACCGGATCACACTACACAAAACCAAATCGATCATATCTGCATCAACAAAAAGTTCAGGAGGACGATGGAGGATGTGAGAACCAATACGGCCTTTCTTCGGGATACTGACAAACTCAACAAATGCAAGATAGTCCTCAGCAACAAGTTCCAGGCCTTTCGTGATCTACTCAACGGAGAAGGAAATACTGTGGAGATCAACTGGAAGGGGATCAAAGAGGCAATCACTTCAACATGTCATGAGGTCCTGGGTCACAAGAAGCACCATCACAAAGAATGGATCACTGTTGATACACTGGATAAGATTCAAGAAAGAAGCAACAAGAAGGCAGCAATCAATACCAGTCGAACAAGAGCAGAAAGAGCCAAGGCACAAGCTGAATACACAGAAGTAAACAAACAAGTGAAGAGGAACATCAAAATTGAAAAACGTAAATATGTGGACGATTTAGCAACGACATTGAAGAACAACGAAACAGGTGGGTAGAACACTTCAAAGAACTCTTGGATCGACCAGCCCCACTGAACCCACCCAACATCGAAGTAGCACTCACGAACCTCCCAATCAATGTTGGCCCACCAACAATTGAAGAAATCAGCATGGCCATCAGACAAATCAAGAGTGGCAAAGCAGCAGGACCAGACAACATTCCAGCAGAGTCACTGAAAGCAGATGTAGCGGCAACTGCAAGGATACTCCACATTTTCTTCAGCAAGATTTGGGATGAGGAATAAGTACCAACATACTGAAAAGGAGTTCTGGTCAAAATACCGAAGAAAGGCGATCTTAGCAACTGTGATAACTACAGGGGCATCACTCTTCTCTCAACACCAGGAAAAGTCTTCAACATGGTATTGTTAAACAGAATGAGAGACTCCGTAAATGCCCGATTTCGAAACCAACAGGTTGGATTCCATAAGGATCGATCGTGTACAAACCAAATCGCAACTCTACGGATCATTGTGAAACAGTCAATTGAATGGAATTCATCACTCTACATCGACTTCATTAACTACTAAAAAGCACTTGATAGCGTGAACGGGACAACACCATGGAAGCTTCTTCGACACTACGGCGTGCCTCAGAAGATAGTCAATATCATACGGAATTCCTATGATAGATTACACTGCAAAATCGTGCATGGAGGACAATTGACGGACTCGTTCGAGGTAAATATCGGTGTCAGGCAAAGTTGCTTACTCTCACCCTTTCTCTTTCTCCTGGTGATCGACTGGATCATGAAGATGTCAACATCTGAAGGGAAACACGGGATACAGTGGACATGTAGGATGCAGCTGGATGATCCAGACTTCGCAGATGATCTGGCCCTCCTATCGCAATCGCAACAGCAATTGCAGGAGAAGACTCAGCAGCAGTAGGTCTCAACATACACAAAGGGAAAAGCAAGATTCTCCGACATAACAGAGCACGCCACAATAGAATCACACTTGACGGAGAAGATTTGAGAGATGTAAAAACCTTTACATAACTGGCTAGCATCATTGATGAACACGGTGAATGCAATGTAGATGTGAAGGCATGGATCGGCAAGGCGAGAGCAGCATATCTACCACTGAAGAACATCTGGAACTCAAGACAGCTGTCAACCAATACCAAGGTCAGAATTCTCAACACAAATATCAAAACTGTTCTACTGTATGGGACGGAAACCTGGAGAACTACGAAAGCCACCATCCAGAAGATACAAGTGTTTATTTACAGTTGTCTATCCCAAATACTTCGGATCCGCTGGCCAGACACTATCAGCAACAACCTACTATGGTAGAAAATAAACCAGATCCCAGCGGAGGAAGCGCTGGGAGGGGACGGGACACATATTGAGGAAAGCACTAAGCTGCGTCACAAGACAAGCCCTCACACGGAATCCTCAGGGTGAAAGAACATGTGATGTCAAAAGATGGACAGATATGAGAAAAATTGGATAGAACTGGAAAGGAAAGCTCAGGATAAAGTGGTTGGGGAATGCTGGTTGGCGGGGTAGGCTCCATTGGGAGTAACAGGCACAAGTAACATACCAAACTGTGCAACTTTAGCTCCCAAGCTACTCAGTGATACATTTTAAACTGGTGGCTTCTTCTATCGGTTTGGTTAGAGCGTCACGAATAATACCATAGTTCATTACAGGATTTCCGACACGACTGGTTTTGACATTGTTAAAGCACTTCAAGTGGAAACATGGATAACAAGATGGACATTTCTAAATTTTCAAGGCCTTTGGATGTTATGATATTAGAGATGCTTCTTCTTGAACTACTTATCGAATGTCCACGTTTAGTCCGATGAACAAATGGCATAAAACTGTCTTCATCAGATAACCTAAAATTCTAAAGGACTGTAAACCAAGTTGGCTTCTGACAAGCACAGTCTACTCACCATCGAAGCTTCATCGGAGAGCTTCGGATCTAGCTTTTCAATATTTCTCTTTAATTGTATGGGTCGTCATTAAACTCTTTGGGTAACTCATCTGCAAGTCGCTGTTGAGAGTAAGCAGAAACAATCCGACAAAAAACTACTGAGGCCAGATGTTAACTATGGTAAAATGCATAGGCCTCTACTAACCAGGTCAATCGTAAAATGATAATAACCACGATAGAAGATAAATGGAACTCTTACTAGTTTATGAGTGGAATCTAGACTTGATAGAGTATCCTTCGGGTTCTCCACTGTTTCATAAATTGTGAATTACCACCGTTTTTCTAAATAGCTACTTGCCTTATTTAACATCCCTTATTTATTGCACGAATACCAAGTACTGTTACATCTATGGTAAAGTTAATGACAGATTGGTTTTCTGAATTTTTTTTAAAAGAAAGTGTAGATCACAAAATTTAAATGGTTTCAAACCAAATTCACAAAGTAGGAAGAACAAAAAGAACAACAGAATGAAACAATGGTGGTTTTCTAGACCAAAATTATCAATATAGAAACACAATTAAAAAATCAGTTTTACAAATACGCAACTTCTCTATGTAGAATAAGTACGAATTGCCATTAGAAAATTGTTAAATGTACAACACTAATTGAAATTAAAGCGAAACAGGGAATTGTTTTATCAAAGGAACTATTATAGACAAGGCTACTGATAAATTATGGAAAGAGACATTAAATCAGTGTTGGAAAAGATAGTAGAAATGCCGAAATCGAACGAAAAGCAGTAAAGTTAATTTATCTTGTATATCACATATAATAGTTCACAGGAAAAAAGTCTGTTGGGAGGTGCACTGTATTTAAAAGAGAACATACTAGGATAGGTCATTTTTTATGAAAATGGAAAGGATTTCAAAAACATAAGTATATTCGATGCTTGATTCGTATATTTTACACAATGTCATATCCCTTGCGGTGGGACAACTTTAGCTCCTGGAATCTTGGAAATAGTCTAATAAAAAAAAAGAATGAAACGAACACAGTGTTATTCTACATAGTAAATGTAATAACATAAACCTATAAATAAACAAATCTGTTAATAAAGAAACATTAAAATAGAGACAGGTAATTTTCATATCATTTAAGCAAATACAACGATTGGACCATTTTGTTTCGCCGTTACTTGTATACATTAAATAGGAAATGTAATCGAACATACGTATAACATAAAACTGGCAAAATGGATTTCCATAACAAGCACTACGTATTAATGCAGATCCATGTTGCAATTGTATCTCATTGCAAAAACTAGAGTAAAAATCACCAAAAAACAAGGCGAACAATTTAGTTTCCCAGACTTAACGACATTTTTTTTACTAACAAGGATTAATATATCTTTATCTGTATTTGACATTGAAATTTCTGTCTAAAGCTGAAGAACTCTCTGTTCACTTCATGAATTCGTCAAAGCCAGCTGTCTCTGGGATTCAAAAACCAGGGAAGGTTACTAAACTTAAAGTAGTCTATCTCATTATGACCGTTTCCTTATATACACGAAATAGGACAGAAATATTCCTGACTGCAAAAATGTAGCTTAAAGTACAGAACTACAAAAGCTTCAAGTGAGTGAAATCAAATAAAATTTAATGGTTGAGTTCATGGCTGAATTAGAGCTAGACCACCATGGAAAACTTGGAAGCACTAGACGGCCGTTTCATTCTAGTGTGGGACTCCTCAACGATGAGCATCCACGACCCCATTCGCGGGATTCGATCCCAGGACCTTCTAGTTTCATCTGACGATATTATGTACTTAATAAGTGAATTGCAGAATTAATCTTCAGTATACAAAATCATACGACCCTATTTATGATACAGATGATCTGATGCTACCTGTAGTATCGGTTATTATGTTAAGCCCATATACCTTATTCTAGCTTCCGGACAGCCCATTCTATTCATCCTACTTGAGTCACATTCTGACCTTGTTAATTATTCGCTTATCAATCTTGACTGTTTTTATATGAGCGCGTAGTTGTGTGTACATCTCTTATCCCATTACTCATCACGTGTCTGTAACTTACTTTTGTGTAACTATAAATATTGATTAACGCTTGTTTAAATGGGAGTTGGTTTACCCGCCATCTCCACTGCGCGTCGTTTTGCTTCGCTCTATATACAAATATTCTACCGCGTTGGTTGAAATACATAAAACGTTATTCTCCACCGTCTGTTCTCCTGTTTTATTGGCCACGGCCTTTGATTGAAGACTATAATAGTGTTATAACGTCTTTTCAGGTCTTCCTACACTACGTTGGATTTTTGGCCCGGATTATTATTAAATAATACTATTGGATCCAGTCTTTCTCATTGCGCCGTTGGTGTCATCTCGCGCAGAGGAATCTTCGTTAATCAAGTGAACTGATTTGTAGTTGTTATCTCAGAGAGCGGTTTACAAGTAACATTCCTTTCATAGCAACTGTTATTATCTTGTTGTTTAATATACCATTTGTATTCTAACTGTAATTTGTTAACTTTTGGTTTTACTCATAGACAGACACCTAGGATTTTACTGGTGAGCTCGACGTGATTCCAGATTTGTGGTGGATCGCAGCTTATTCAAGATATATCAATACGTAAGGTTATTAATAATATACCTGACAAAGGGAATAAACGTTCCGCTAAGTAAAATGAAAATATTGGTAACAGTTCTCCGCTATGCAATAAGAATAAATAGAATATCATACTTAATGAAAATATGTAACCAAGATAATGATATATAATTTTATTTATTTATCAAATATAGGTTTTGTGTACGTAACTTTGAACCACATACATTGTATGAGGGCTGATAATAATAATACTTGTGCCTAGAATGTAATGGATAAAGTGGGATTTAGACACGCTACTCATTGTTTCTGAAAAGAATGTTTTAACCATTAGGCCACATATCTTACGGGTTTTTTTAAAAAAATTAACACAGTATTCAAAGTACAAACTTTTTCAAACCAGAATGTCCACATAACTTCAAAAGGTATGATTTATCTAGAAAGCATTTTACAAATTAACATACTGCTGATTTATGAAACCATTAACAGACTGATAGATGATCTCATGAAATAGGTCAAGTAAAGTTGATTAACTGTTACGCTAAAAATCCCTACTTATTACGCAATTTGTGCTTCAACAGTCAACAATAACACTGATGAGTTGTACTCCCCATAAAAATATTGGAATACTCATAAGTTTTCATATACAACCAAACAAAATCATAGTAGCTGACTATTAACGACAAAAATTACTGGAATATTTTTAGGAGATTTGCTTTTCTGGTTGATATAACCTAGGACATTGTAACACTTTTACACAGTGAGAAATAATAACTATGAATTAATATTATTATCCCTAGAAACCCACACATAAAATATTCTGAGCTCTAAAAGAAACCGATTATCTCTACAGTGAATTTTCTACACAGTTTGGAACAACCCAGTGAATCACTCAAAAAGGACTTTAATAGTAGTTTATTCTGGTGTTGTAAAATACGAAAACAATACACTGGATACAACATTCGAACAACTTCCTTAAATTGTCTCTTCCAAACTCCATCGTTTTTCAGTTTCTGTTGATAATCCAACTACCTTTGCTTTTTCCCCTTCTCATTTTCCTCTTCTGTTGGTAACAATCCTACATTGGATCGCCGATACATACTACATATACAGTGAACGAGAACTGAGTTGGAGAAAACCAATATACTGTTTAATGCAGAACTACCCAGTGCCTTCGTAAAATATGGAAATCAAACATTGAATACATTATTTGCAAATCCTCCATCAGTTGCCTTCTACACGCTTCATGATTTTTTCAATTCTGTTGTTATTCCAATTGCTCTGTTTCTTCAATTCAATCTTCTGCTGGCAAGCATTCCACACCCGATTTTTGCTACATATGATTTATCTCTGTCAGAAGAAGCAGCATACACCACGCTTATACCTGTCCCTATAAGTAGCTTACACCATAATATGATTGAACACGATAGGAAGAGTAAATTTTGTGTTCTGAAAAGCTGCATATCAGATCAAGTAAGCTTTTCAATGTTTTCACGCATAATATATTTTCAACTGATACTAATCAACAATGGAATTAAAAAGAGATTACCAGAAAGTTCCCCATAAAAAGCTAATAAACAAGAAAACTACTGTTCACTTAGTATAAGCATGTTCATACAGATACAGAAACTAAGATGAATTTCTTATTAGTATGTTGACCGAACCAACTTTAACCACATGTATATTGTTATAATAGTCAGTACTCTGGACCAAACTATCATCGTTGTTTGAGCAACAGCACATGACTTACCTAGACGCGCAACTCTAATCGGGGAATGTAAGTCATATGGACACTTATTGTGATTCTAACTATTGCTGATAAGATTCCGAAGATAGCATTAAGAAAGTTTCGGCTCAGAGTTGGAATATTCAAACTTTGTTAATATAAATCAGCTGAACTAAACGAAGTGATGATATACAGTGTTTTAAAAAAGGTGTTTAATTAATAAAATACTAGTGACGAATACCAAAACTTAACAATATCTTTCGGTAAACACACAGCGTAGAGTCAACAATAATATTACACTTAAAATCGAACACAAACCGGAATGTAAAAAGTAACGATAAAACGAAAAAAAAGTCTAACCTGACTAAGATCAACATTTGTTAGAGCTCGAATAGCATGTGGAACAGTCCCAACTAATGTAGTAAAATCTTTGCCCAGATTAGTGAGACTTTGTAAAGTAGCCGGTTCGCCATTAGAACCATTCATAATAACAATTTCTTTAGTTTTGCTCAGTGGAGCAGCAACTTCAGCAGCTATTTGCGGTAATGTATCCAATATGAGATTTAGAATAGCAGCATCACCGTATTTACTATAAGCTTCAGCCCTCAAACGCATTCTCTCAGCTTCTGCCCGTCCAACAGCTTCCATAGCTTCAGCTTTAGCAATACCTTTAAGACGAATACCATCGGCCTCAGCTTGAGCTAAAAGAATTTTTTGTGATCTGAAATAACATTTAATAGAAGAATAAACAATCATTTTTTGTAGGTACCATTACCAAGGTTTGACGTGATAACTTCAAATAAATTGAGCATTGGGTAGAATGTTATAAATAAAAATAATATACTTGTAATATCCCAATAAGTGTAAGCCACTTCTTCAGAGAAACGTCAGAAAGTCTAATTTTTCTACTCACTGTGATATAACAAATACATTATCACACATCTGTCAGTAAAGTATTTTTACTAGTATATTTTTGGCAAGAACGATAGCAAAAAATATCATCACATTTAGTATACACTATCTATACTATTAAAAGTTACAGGTAAATAACATTTTTACTTTACTATATTTTAGAAAGTACAACAACGAGAAGTACTCATCAAATTAAAAAAATTACACATTAAAAGTACTAGAAAACAATATGAATAGAAGATGGTTAACATGAAAATCTACATCTGTAAAACTGGCAGAACTGCTATAACATCCAATAATTTTATTCAAGAATCTCTTTGCAGTCCGAAAAAAAGTAGGCTGTATCGAGACATGGTACAATAAACCTGTAATTAAAATCCAATGACAGATGTTTTATTCACAGTACACTTTTCATACTACTCTAATGTAATTGAACTAGAATTTTATCTTCTATCCTATAATCGGATATGGTGATCGTTCACTGATTATTAATGAATTAATTATTCACAGTGAAGAATTTTACAATTGTTTTTTTAAAATGTATGATTTTGCAGATAATCTATGATTTAACGGGAGTTGGAAAACTAAATAGAAAACTGGAGAAATAAACGTGCTGTTTATTTCTAAATTGCGATCAACTTCATTATGAAAAGGAGTAAATATTCGATGATAGCATTGAACGTTTACTGAACAACAAATTGTTGGCAATTCAAACAAAACACACTTGCCAAGGAAATCTGAAGAATTCTGAGATTTACTTCAAGAATTAAGGAACAGTACATACTTTCTTGTCTGCAGTGGCTCATTAAATAAATACCTAATCCAAAGCAATAAAATGCGAATACGCTCACATAACGTCAAAAAAGTCTGGAAACATTTGTCTTATTGACTCAAATAGCAATGTAAACTCGAAATAATTAGTACAATATGTTTATAAGAATAACAATACATTAATTAATAAGCATTGATGTTAAGGCTCTTGAAGAATTGTGATTGGAGGTTTGTGGAGATTGTAGTAATTGTAATAGTTGAATTTATGAGTCAATGTAAGCTAGACCACCATTAGAAACCTGAAAGCACTGGACGGTTTCCAATAGTGATCTAGCCTACAGTGATTCTTGAAGAATTGACAAAAATAGTAATAACAAGTATGAAATGCTTGTTCCCACATTCCTATTTTTCACTTCTTACTTCTTTACTGACGTAAAGTATACCAACTTAGATTTAAGTTGTGTCCTATCTGCATATCAGTTACTCAATTTCTAAATCTCTCACATTATTATATATATATATATATATCGCATTTCTTTTAAATTGATTATAATCTAAGTTTATCAAGCAATGCTATAATATACACAAATGAAAGTTCAAGATGGATTTAGTTACCGTGAATAACAAATTATACGGTCGAGATTGACGTAAGTAGACAGCCCATTTAAGACAGCAATCACTTTCGAAATAGTCTAAAATTCAGTGGAAAGTTGTTACTGAGTTATTTTAATGTATACTTACGATCTCTAAATTACCATTAGTTATTACATTTTGTGATGTGTTATTCAGTACCATTTTGATTATATGATATTAAGTAAATAGAAAGATTTCAGTAAACTATTGCAATTATCAACCGTTTTTGCAGTTTTAAATCAGTGGATGGCGTCAGTTAGAGAAGTACTGGACAGCTGTTTAATCATGTCATGAAGTTACCCTGTGGGTCGAATTTAAGACTGAGTTGACACGCTACCTTATAAACATCTCAAGAAGACGTTCTCCCCCATATATACACAACAAAGCATATTTACAGAGAAGTAAAGAAGAATACTACCCAAGATGATTAGATTGTATAAGAAGTAACAGGTTTAAGCTTGTAAGTGCACACACTAACTTCTTTTAACTACTCAGGTGAATTAACTTTAAAGTCCATAGCAAAATAAGAACGGTTATAATAAATAAAAAGCTGAAAAGTCAAAATCGTTAGACAACAACTCTAATGTCAAGTTAGCACTTTTGAGAAATGAATATTTAAAAATCAATATTGTAAGTACTCTCATTAGTTTAATGGATATTTTAAAACACAACAATTAACTACATATAAGTTGATAGGACTAATATATTAGTGTGAAATAAATAATAAATGTCATCCAATTCATTAAAATACATCATACCTATAACCCTCAGCTATTTGTTGTAGTCTATAAGCTTCTGCTTCAGCTGGACGTCGTACAGTAGCATCCATATTCTTTTCAGTACATAATATGCCTTTTTCTTCTATTTCAATTTGTTTACGACGTTCAACAATATTAATGTTCACTTCTTCTTTTCGAATTTTTTGTCTCTCTTTAGCAGCCTAAAGGTTAGCAACAACCCAATAAATGATTTTGATCAGTTACAAAAGTTCAAAACAACTACAATAAATGAGAAACCTACTACCTAACAATATGAAAAGTAATTTGATAGTACCTTCAGCAGTTCCGTAGATTACATAAATTAGACCAAAGTTGCGTGAATACTTGTTGATATTAGAATTTATAAGTTGAAGAACAATCCACTCATTAGCTACAATAAAATATCGATAATAGCTATATTATTCATGAACTATTCTTACAAATTTTATACATAATAATGTTTTGCCATTTACATTTAATACATTATCTGTTTACTAACTATTTGTATAATCATACTAACCAACTACATTGCTCTGCATTTATTTTCAATCCAAAGCGGATTATAATTCTTGTGTATAAAATGATGATAGCAAAACATATTTATTCATTTAAAAAAAAATTGGAATTCTTTAAACAATCGTTTACATTAGTTAGTTGACCTTAATAATAAATTAAACATTTATGGATCGATATCTTGATTAAGTCATGCACAAACCGATAATAACATTCATCTTGAAGGTACCATCAATAATTACCACAACTGACCTAGTTTTAAACATCATTCAAAGTAATTTTAAGATTTAGAATTGTTCTTTTTTGGTTTACGATTCGTTTAAAATATATCCAGCATGTTACATATGTTTATCAGTCACTTAGTGATCTTATTCATCTTCTTTCCTTCCTTTTTTTATTAGTAATGCGTAACGAAATAATAGATACTCAACAAATGTTTGTTGACTTATTTGATTTACACAATCCAAAGTATTGACTTTTGAGCTATCAGGTATATAGATCCAAAACTATATGTTTAAATGTTTACAGTCAAAACCCAAATGTCAAATGCCTAAAATTGACATAAACAACAACACATTTCTTTTATCATGATCAACTATTCTTGCAGTTACAAATACAGAACAGTTTTGCACAGTATGTCCTTTTTCAACGTGTCAGTAACTAATATTATAATACAATTCTCAATATTGAGGTATGTTGATGATAATCAACCGACAAAAATGACCATTACAAGGTTCATAATTTCAAGACGATAGGAACCAACTAACTTTTTTTGTTAGCTCTTTAATAATTATGTCTACGCTAGATGATAGCAAAAAGGAAAATACTTTCAATTACTCGTATTGTGGATATTAAATGGTAAAACTGTGTGGAGCACATATATCTGGTGCCCCCTTGTACCAATATTTATATGTTCAAATAAATAAATAAGACACGGTAAAACTTGTAAGTTAACAACCTAGGAAACTGTTTATACAAATCTACTTCAAAATAAAGTAGTTTACTAGTTTGGTCAAAACCACTCTACTAAAATGTCAAACAGATACATAATGAATAATTACTTCACGTTAATATGGGAAAAGATTCCTCGTACACTCTTTTTGGATTTGCGTACAACTAACGAACTTGAAGGCGTTCACTTATGGTATCGTTAGGTCAAATGTCCGTCTGCACGCTAGCATGGGTAAAATTGAAACATGTAGAACCACAAACGATTTCGTTATAAGTATGACGACAACTGTTGTGTAAGGGAGCAAAACACTTGTGGTAAGTGCTCAGAAGCATACTTTTTTATTGAATAAGGTCATGGTTGAGAACTTTTACAACGAATGATAAACACATCAACCAAACATAACTACACATTAGTAGTTTAAGAGAACTATTGGATAAGAATGTACTACATACTTATAACCACGAAGCTAGACACCAAATCATTGTTCACTGATGCTGTAAGATTTTACAAGGATGTCTTTACATAAATCCTTCAGAAAATCCACTATCTTGATAAAATATTCTGGTTGAGGTACATATACTATAGACAGGCAAATTAAGGCATGATATTAACTTACGAAGTTATCGCCAATTTCGGCTCCATCTGATAATTATAATTTACAGTTGGAGACCTTAAGATCTATTGGTCAAAGGTTGCAGTGGTGTAGATGTATTCGTTCTTTGTTTTCCTTTAAACACTCAGCTTAATGTAATTGGATGCTTTGATTTCGTTCATACTTTTGGAAGTAGCATATATTCAATTCTCCACTGAAATCGACTTTCCCAAACGCATCTGCTTTCTTTCTGATTTATTAATTCTTTTTCTCAGTGTAATGTCATATGTAACAAATTTGAACCGAAACACATGGATATCGAGTCCCATGCAACCTATATTGCTGACCGAATCAGTCACAACAATGACCTTTGATGAAATAGTGATAAGACAACCTGACTGACATATAATATTGACTTAGATCATTCAGCGAATCAACAGCTGAAATTTATCAGTTCCAACCAATTATTATAATAAATAACTGCGAATTAACAAAGTGTATTACAAAAAAATATATGCCGCTTACGTACAACAAAACACCTACACTTATAAACCAGCATTAAATGTAGTTCGCACACAAATCTGTCTAAAAATGCTGAGAAAAAAAGCTTACTCATAGAGTATAGTGTCCAAAGATATACTCTGTACTTATTTCAATTACCTGTAATTTATAGGCCAATTCAGATTCTGCACGAGCTGTATTAACCTCTTGATCAAAACTAGCCTTCCTCAATTGAAATTCACGACTTGAATTAGCAATATGCGTATCGGCTGAATAACGAACGTCCAAACGACAACGATCACATTCTGCTTCCTAAACAAAAAAGATCGATGATACAACACTGACACTTGGCAGATTGTGACATAATGAGTTTATACCAACTTTCCAGTTTACATTTAAAGTTAAGCTAACTTTGAAAAAGATTTCAAACTTTGGCAAATGGAAAAACATATTAAGAGTAGAAATCGTGAATATAAACCATTTTAATTAATACTAGATATTTTAGCGTCTTGCAAGTAACGTTATTATGTAGGTGATAGAGTTTTTACTTTTTTGAGATCAATTAATTATAATGACAATAATCAGTTATCCCAGGATACATACTAGGAAAGAGATAGCCTAAGATTGTAAAAAAAACACATGGTAATTTAACAGTAACTTTTGAGTGCAAAAACAACATTTAAACAAACTGCTGGCAAACATTTGACGAGAAATGAAAATATATTTTAAACGCAGTCAGTCAGTCAGTTACAACGTAGGATCTAGCACATATATGCATCGGTCAAAGTTGCCACAACCCATTAGCACAACAAGATGAACACCAAATTCATAGAAGTAGTCACTTCAATGGTAATGCATAAAAGGAAGATCATGTATAAGGATATAATACAGGAACAAGGAATTAGAGAGGTATAAAGTAATTTTAGTCTCACGGTTTTAGGGAGGACAAAGAGTGTATACACCTACGCCATTTTGATCGATTCTGAGCCATGTCACACAGAGTATCCAACCATTGGTTACGATAGTCACGCGGATCCCAACTAAGTAGTCTGCATCTACCAACATGGCTCAGACCAGAAGTTAGTGACTTCAAGGACTGATGCCACATTTTGGTTTGGCCGCCTCTAAATTTCTTCCAATTATCTCCAACACGTCAGCATTGTGTCATAGTAAACGGTGTTATTTTAAAGACAGAGGTTATGATGGAAACAGTAATGTATTTTACACTCACAGTTAAACAAGGTGCCCAAGATAGAACAGAGGGGTGTACAGAACTGCTGATGAAATAAGATTTAATTAATCAATAAACACTATTTTCATGGTATAAACTTCTGAACAAATAAAATGTCACGAAGAAGATATGCCACTGTAGGTAGTAATGTAATATTAATCGGTGTCAGACACTCTTCAGTCTCAAATGTTACGTTTACAAATACTCAGTAACACAATAAAGAAATTGTGAATTGGATTGATCAGTTTTAATATAGAAGACAACGTGCAAGAATTTATTGTTAAATTAAATTGCATGAAACTACACTTTTAAAGTTTTACTGAGAACTATTTAACACGTAACGTAATATTTTATTGCTCAGTAGCAGAAGACAGTAAACAATAACATTTAAATTTGAAGCTGCCAACTGCTGAACTACACTTTGAAATAAAAATTAAGCACCTAATGATACATCTATTCACTATCAGTCTCAGTCAGCAACAACGTAGGACTTCGTACGTACGTACATCATTTCAAGTTGCCATTACACATTTAAACATGAAGTCAGAGAAAGTCTTTCCTAATTCGAGTAAAGGGAAAATGTCTTACGTCAACATTTTCGAGAGAACTGGAGAGTCCAATTCATTAAGAAGACATAGCAGAATCTACACATTCGTGTTAAACAATTTTATCTACATTCCACCCCACAGAATGAATCTAGTTAAAACTCAATAGCTTGTTTCCATATAAACTTTCTGAATTTCAGAAAACCAAGATTTTCTAAAGTTATCAAAGTCCAAACAATGCGGAGCGGCGAATAAGTGGTTAAGGTGTTCGACTTCCATTTACCAAGTCCCATGTTTAAACCCTACACCTTCTACTTCAGTTTGGGCGACCAAATAATATCATTCAGCCCCACACATGTGGCTTATATCCAAGTATCCGGTAAATGGATTCACTGAAATTAGAAACATAAGACAATGTAAAATACGGACAATAACTTCAAAGGATAATTGAGGAACTCTTAATCGACTTCCGGTTATCTAAGAGAATCTCATTCATTGTGAAATACAGTAATCTTGGACCCGACCCCGTAAGAGTGCGAAGTTGTATGTTCCTGAGTAATTCTAAACTAGGAAGAAATAGATTGTTGATCAACTTTGAAGTGCTCTTTATCAGTCAAAAATATTTGTCTTCAAGCAATACTACATCCAAAAGACGGCATAAAGCCTGATACATGAAGATTACGAAGTCCAAATAAATACATACCCTCACAAATAGTGCAGTAAGTCCCTAATGAGACCACTTAAAATTAAATCAGTTGATAGTACTAAATTATGAATAAACATCTGGGGGGAAAATCCTGACTTCATTCGAACATCACAAACCCAGAAACTACACAGGAAAGTGTTCGTTATTGAGGAAATAAAAGAAACTATTTTGTCTTTTTGGAATCCATCGTAATACAAAATACAACTTTTATAAAATACTTGAAATGATTCAATCCATAGAATAGTTCCTTCAGAGTCTGCCCTCATTGTTGACCTGTTGCAGTAAAAATACACAGAGTTGTCATTCATTTACTGTCAGATCTATCAATAGTTATTTTATGCTTGTCTAGTGTTTGTTGACCTGAAGATATTAACTCTCCTATGGAGAACAATGAATACTTATTATCTTTTTACAGGCTGATTAACAAAAAAAAAGAAATACACAAGGTAATGAAAACTGATGGTTTTAGTTTTTGTAACTTAGTTACACGTACTTACTAGAAATAAAATCCATGAGTCTAAAAGTTAATTATGAGCACCATATCAGGCAGCTGAGATAGATTCAGTCAGTCAGCTAAAACGTAGGACCAGGCACATATATGCATCGGTCAAAGTTGCCATACCTCATTAGCACAACAAGATGAACACCGGATTCATAGAAGTAGTGATGGTAATATACAAAAGAAAGATTACATATAAGGACGTAGTACAGTAAGAAAGAATTAGTTCGTGGAAAGAAAGACATGAAGTGATTTTAATCTCTTAATTTAAGGGAAGACAAAGAGTGTATACACCTACGCCATTTTGATCGATTCTGAGCCATGTCACACAGAGTATCCAACCATTGGTTACGATAGTCACGCGGATCCCAACTAAGTAGTCTGCATCTACCAACATGGCTCAGACCAGAAGTTAGTGACTTCAAGGACTGATGCCTTGTTTTGGTTTGGCCACCCCTAACTCCTTTCCAACCATCCCCAACACCAGTCAGCATTGCACGTCGTGGTAATCGGTATTCAGGCATACGTAACACGTGGCCCAACCATCTTAGTCGATGAAGATTCACAATCTCATCAAGTGATTTACCTTCGTTCCCTAATACCCTGCGTCTAACCTCACTATTACTTACTCGGTGATCCCAGAAGATGCCAGCAATATTTCTAAAGCATCTGTGGTCAAATGCTAGTAGCTTATGAGTATCTTCGACTCTTAATGGTCACGTTTAGCAGCCCTAAAGTAAAACAGAACGGACGGACTGAGATAGATTACACCGAGCTTAATATACAATATCTGAGTTTAGGTACCGATGTATCAAGACATAAAGCGATTGGTGTCAAAATAACATCAAATACTGAATTTTTATTTAGTAATTAGAAATAATAAATAAAACTGGATGAGGTTAGTCGTTAACATTCACTGGTTTTTCAAGGCTTATCAATTGAGTAAGCAAGCATATATCACTATGCTACCACATCTAATTTAATAAAATAATAAATGAATTATTGACCAAGTACGTGAGTATGAGCCACAGTCCTAAGTGTGAGGAATCATGACACTATCCGGCGGCCCAGATTGAAGTAAATGAAGTGGGGTTCTAACCAAGGAGTCTATAGCTGAAAACCGAGCACCACGACCAGTACACCAACACTTCACATCAGCCAATTTATCCTATTAGGAAGATATGACTCGAGAAACTATAAATTAGTGAGACAAAGACAAAAAACGTCATGAGAAACTTAGAATCTTAATAATTCGGTGAGTACGAAGAAATTTTCATATATTTTGTTAGGTTCCAATAAGCATAATGAATAGTAACTTTGGGATCCATTTATGGGCCAATACTATGTGTATATTTTTATCGTATAATTGTTAAATAACTAAACTGTTTATATTCATGTCCCTCTTATTATGAGCTTTATTTTGACCTATGAACTGTTATTATATGATTTACCATTCTTGAATTATGCCCTGTCTATTAATTACTACCTCCCAAATTCACAGCCACATTTGGCCAAATTTTGTATAAATGTTGTTTCCTATTTTATGGCACGGTGTGGTCTGGTTCGTATACAAACCCAGTATGTTTGATATAAAGGATTCATATTGCAGAGGCTGAGATTGGTCTTCTGGACTTAACTGACTGGGCTAGGCTGAAAGCAGGACCAATAAGTACTCTAGACTGCTCGTACGGTTTTATGCGTCACTGGTTCGATCGATAATTCACCGCTCTCTAATTGGCGGTTTCGTTACGTTATACATTAACGGGGCACACATGCCACAAGTTATAACATATTTGCACCCATAAAACTATTGCAAAGTATATGGCTAATCTGGAATGACCAATAAATAATCAAGAACTTTCTATTGAGAGATTTAATAACACTGCATAGAAAGAATACCTTGATTCCAGCATCACGTTCTGCTTCAGCAACTCCGATGTCAGCATCTCTTTTGACGTTTGCTGTTTGTGCACGTCCCAGAGAATTTAAGTATTCCACACGATCATAAACATCTTTTATGGTAAAACTTAATATCTCAATTCCCATTCGTCCTACATCTGGTGCCGCCACCTCTCGAACAAGAGCAGCAAACTGATCGCGATCCTAAAACAAAGAGGATACCCGTTAATCCAAATTACTGATATATATATATATATAATAAATTTTAGAAGCTTTAAGGAATACGTTAGAAAGGCCTTCATAATGCACTTATAATTTGGATTCCATTGTGCTTACAAACTAGAAAAGCTAGTATCTAATGTCACATTCTATGGGATGTCCAAGTCCACAATAGGGAATCAAGAGAATTACACAACATGCTAAGGTTAAGTTTGCCTTTTGTCTTAATTTCATCAAAATCCAAATCAAACATGAATGTTCAACAAATAGACCGAGCCCCTATAATTAACTCCCTTAGTTTCTCTTAATTATGATATGAGAGTTAGGGCTACTTTACAAAATGGGGAGATCATTAGTTTCTACTTCGATTTTTGAATACTGATAAGAATTCTAAAAGTGATATATCGAGGTTATTTAAATAGGACAGTTTCTAAGATTTTAGAACTAACGACGAATGAATACTTATGAGCAAACAGGTTGAGATTGATGTGGAACATGTAAACATTTACGAATGCAATGAACCGGTTCGCCCTGAAAGAGAAGGAAATATTTCATTAAAATGACGGCAACATATAGAATTTGGATTCGGCTGACGTATGACGAAATTCTGGTACATATAGTTTGATACTTTTTAACAGACATTATTAGTAGTTTCAACGAAAAATCAAATGGTAACTGAGGAACATGAATTGTAATTGACAGGAAATGTAAGACCTAACATGTGATTTGTTGATTGACAATCAATTTCAACAAGGGTTAGCACTACACATACCATATAAATTTCAATATCGACAATTCACAAATTGCTGAAAAATTCCCATTATATTAAAAACACAATTGTATGAACGAAGAATATTCTTTTCAATAATTTCTCATCAGGTTCTACAATTATAAATCCAGATTAATAATCCATAAAATTGGCCAGATTTAAGGCAAAATACATCATCATTTGGAAATTGTAATATGTAAATCAGGAATTGTTTGTTATATAAAATAAAATCGTTAATGTTGGGGCTGACTAATACGAAGTGTTAACTTGAATCAGTTTATAAGTGAAATGAAATTGTGAGATAAATTATCAAAATAAATATGGTCAACATGGGGTAAGAGAGAGAGAGAGAATATTGTGATTACAAATCGGAAATTGCGTAATATGTAAAATAATTAGGTCAAATATAGTAGATTCAGGGGTGGATATTGAATAAATTACTCCAAAGGGGGTTATCAAGTGTAAAGACAATAATAATAATAATAATAATAATAATAATAATAATAATAACAGTAATAACAATAGTAATAATAATAAGTTTGGGACATAAAATGAACATTAATCAGATTACGTCACCACATTTTAAGATTGGTTATTAGCTAGTTGGCCAGGGTAAAAGGAGTGGCTGAACATACTTCTTTTGGATACAAAGCTCTGGCTTTTTGATCCGAATAGCAATTGCTTCAGCCGTCTGTAGGATTCGCAGTCTGATGGAATTAGGTAGACTGCTGTTGACACGATAAACTATTGCAAAAGATTGCTCCATGTTGGCTGTATGTCCTGTTTGGACTAAATGGTCTAAGATGGAGCTGTTAACAGTTTTGACAACACCTTTGCTTAACCACACGGGTAGGTGCTCACGAGCCCGAATGCACAAATTCCTAGAACATCTGCCAATATAACTTGCTCCACAGGAGCAGTTGAATTGATAGATACAGAAGGAGGTGGCTAGTCTAGGTAATTTATCTTTCAACCTCGGAGTGATTATTGGTCGTGTGGAAAATACTAGTTGTAGTTTAGCTGCGTTAAAAGTCCTTTGAATTGATCTACTTAACTTAAGTCTTAACATTTCACTCGGCGCGTCACCTCTGAATTGTAAGTGTATATATAGAGGCTTTCTATTTACCGTTGGGCATTCTCTACGTTGTCTTTTATTGGCTAAGTTTTTATTTATAAATTTCTCTGGATATCCATTTTCTTTCAGGGTAGTGAACAATGTCTTTGTTTCATCTTCAATCGTATCGAGAGTGCATATAGTCTTGATTCTATGATGTAGTGTCTTGATAAGGTTCCTTTTTTGTTGTAGAGGAACGAAACTGAAAAAATTAGTATATTGACCCGTCCAGGTCATTTTCCTGTTTATGTTTCTTTTTAGCGATCCATCATTTCTCCTTGTAAGCAGAACATCTAGGAAGGCTATTTTACCCCCATTTTCTTTCTCACATGTGAATTTTATGGACGGATGAGCTGTATTGAATTGCTCGAGTGTTCTTATCAAGTCCGTATGCTCGTTACAAAGGATAAATGTATCATCCATATATCGACAGTACAATGAAAACTTATCGATTTCTTGTGCCAGTGGGCCGTTTTCTAGTTTAGAAAGGAAAATGTCTGCCAATATGGGACCCAGCGGTGAACCCATCGCGACGCCATCTATTTGTCTGTAGATTTCCCCATTGAATTTGAAATGTACATTCATAGTGCATTTTAGTAATAATTCTTTGATGATCTCTACAGGGATTGTCGTTTCTAGTTCCTGTTCTCTAAGCTGTTCACAAATATATTCTACAGTTTCTCTGAGTGGAACATTTGTGAACAGTGATGCTACGTCAAAAGAAATCATCGTCTTCTCTTTCGTGTTTATGTTTTTAATCCTGTCAACGAATTGGAATACGTCCTTAATACTATGTTTTACCAGGCGATTATGGAGTGGTTTCAAAACAGTTACTAGCCACTTTGCTACAGTATGATATGGGGAATCATACATGTCCAGAATTGGCCTTAATGGGATATCCGGTTTATGTATCTTTGGCAATCCGTATAACCTAGGTAAATGTGTACCTATCGGCTTAATTGTTTCGTATACGTCTTTTGGAATCATTTGTTGATCTCTGAGCTTTTTTAAGGTTCGGGTAATTTCATTCTCTATCTTATTATTGACATCTTTTTGGTTATTCAGTTTCTGAAATTTTTGAAGATCATTCAAGATGTTATTCATCTTGTCAATGTAATCTTTTTTGTTAAGCAGGACGGTTCCTGTTCCTTTATCGGGTTTTGTGATGATCAGATTCTCGTCACTAATGAGGTCCATGATAGCCTCCCTGTGTTTCTTAGTTAAAATACTTCTGTAGTTATATCTACTATTCTTAAACTGATAGCAACAGTCAACTAGGTTTGATTTGAAACGTTCAAGTTCCTGATCAGAGGTTGGGACCAGATCTGATGTCTGACGATTTAGGTTTTCAAATTGGATGTCTGTATCGATTTGATTTACGCGGTTTCGTGTATCACAGAATTTTAGGCCAAGTGCTAATACTTCAAGTTTTTCTTTATTTAATTCAGTACCGGAAAAATTGTGCACATACCTTTTTGGTTCCGTCGGAAATTTATTTTCAACCGGTTGATTTTCAAGGCTTTTGAGAAGTTGGATATGTTTCTTGTTTGAACGTTCCTTAGTTATTTTTGTGACATACTCCATAAACTGGGACTTAAGGTCTTCTGGTAATTCATCAACTGCAAATCTTCTGCGAGCAATGTTTACTTCTATCTCTGTCAAGTCATTATTCAATGTGTCAATTTTATTAAGTGCATAGCGCTTTAATGTTTTTCTATTTGGATTAACATGATTACGGCGTAGTGACTTATAGAACAGTTTCGGATAATGACATGATTCGATACAGTTTTTTATAAATTCCAATGATGTTTTCGTTTCAGTGAACTTTGCGTTATACTTCAGAAACTCATTGAGTGCCTTCAACGCAATGGGTTGATCACAAGATTTTAATTGCTGAAAAATTCCCATTATATTAAAAACACAATTGTATGAACGAAGAATATTCTTTTCAATAATTTCTCATCAGGTTCTACAATTATAAATCCAGATTAATAATCCATAAAATTGGCCAGATTTAAGGCAAAATACATCATCATTTGGAAATTGTAATATGTAAATCAGGAATTGTTTGTTATATAAAATAAAATCGTTAATGTTGGGGCTGACTAATACGAAGTGTTAACTTGAATCAGTTTATAAGTGAAATGAAATTGTGAGATAAATTATCAGAATAAATATGGTCAACATGGGGTAAGAGAGAGAGAGAGAATATTGTGATTACAAATCGGAAATTGCGTAATATGTAAAATAATTAGGTCAAATATAGTAGATTCAGGGGTGGATATTGAATAAATTACTCCAAAGGGGGTTATCAAGTGTAAAGACAATAATAATAATAATAATAATAATAATAATAATAATAACAGTAATAACAATAGTAATAATAATAAGTTTGGGACATAAAATGAACATTAATCAGATTACGTCACCACATTTTAAGATTGGTTATTAGCTAGTTGGCCAGGGTAAAAGGAGTGGCTGAACATACTTCTTTTGGATACAAAGCTCTGGCTTTTTGATCCGAATAGCAATTGCTTCAGCCGTCTGTAGGATTCGCAGTCTGATGGAATTAGGTAGACTGCTGTTGACACGATAAACTATTGCAAAAGATTGCTCCATGTTGGCTGTATGTCCTGTTTGGACTAAATGGTCTAAGATGGAGCTGTTAACAGTTTTGACAACACCTTTGCTTAACCACACGGGTAGGTGCTCACGAGCCCGAATGCACAAATTCCTAGAACATCTGCCAATATAACTTGCTCCACAGGAGCAGTTGAATTGATAGATACAGAAGGAGGTGGCTAGTCTAGGTAATTTATCTTTCAACCTCGGAGTGATTATTGGTCGTGTGGAAAATACTAGTTGTAGTTTAGCTGCGTTAAAAGTCCTTTGAATTGATCTACTTAACTTAAGTCTTAACATTTCACTCGGCGCGTCACGATTTTATTTTATATAACAAACAATTCCTGATTTACATATTACAATTTCCAAATGATGATGTATTTTGCCTTAAATCTGGCCAATTTTATGGATTATTAATCTGGATTTATAATTCACAAATTATCAGCGAAAATGCATCGAAGATATTTCTCGACCAGAATAATTTACAAAACGCCGAATCTGTAGAGCCTAACCGCGATTTTTTAAAACACTTTGCTAAATATAAAGTACCACACATGAACAATGCTGTGCTCGTATAACCTTTCATAGAGATTAAAGTTGGTGAAAAAGATAAAAACTAACACGATAGATAGCTTCCACTGTCAAGGTGCCAAGTATGGCTCTTAAATGTCCTTCCATCGTTTGAAGTATAGTGTTTTGAATATCTCGTTGTTTTTTCCCTAAAAATTGTTGACATGCTGCCTCAAGCAGTTTGTCATCCCGCATCACCTTGACTTGTGCCACGCCTATCAATGAAAAATATAGTTTAAAGACCAATGCAAATCAACAAGTTACCTGTCACAGTTAAAGGAACACCTTCTGATGTTTCCACGTTCTCGCAGACTGGATTTAGAGTCATAACTCCTAGAGAAATTCTGGAGGTCTGATAATAACTCAAGAGATTTACTTTTGAACCTCAGTGACAAGCCACCAAGCCCAACCCCACCCACCAATTATTGTACGCACTTTCGCAGCTCCACAGCATCCACCTTTTAAAGTGATTCATAAATACCAAAAAGTGACCATTATTTTGACTCAATAAAATCATTTTACATTCCACTAGACGCAGCGACATCTTATAACGGCCTTATCTGAAAATACTATCATGTACAACCAAAAAACTGTCACCACATATATTGACTTTAAAATGATACTACTTAACATGAACTGCCACTATCAGATAAGCTAGTTTTTCCTTCAGCAAATATTATACTCTACATTATCAAACTGAATGATAGCGATCTGACAGCCAGAGACATATAACAAATTTTAAATATAAAAAAAATTATAGATACATAATGTACCACCTGAATTAACTGCAATACTTACATACAGACCAAGTAATCCACCAGGACAAACAAAACTACGAATACATGTATCGGAAAAGGATTGCGATATGGTAGCTCTGATTTGCAGACTATTGGACTTAACGCATCTTATCAGAAGAGCTAAAGCTTATAATGTGTGTATCTCTACTGAAAACGATCTCTACTTATGAAAGGTAATTGCTACACTAGTGTAAAACAGAATCATATTAACAAATCAGGCACACTGTCTCAGGTTGAAAGTGTCATGCTGACGTTACAACTAGTGACGTATAAGATAAAATAATCAGCTAAAAGATGGTTATAGTGATCTAAGCAAAAATACTAATCAGTA